CTGAACCCATCTCTTTTCCTTTTTGTCCTCGTTATTATTATTATTTTTTTGGTACTGTAACTCAGATGATTCAACTTTTGAGCTGCCTAAAGAATGATTGAAAGTAATATTCTTTGTGTGGAAAGAAAGTGTAAATCATAAAACAAACAATCCAAAAGGAAAGGGGACAAGAAAAAGAGAGGAAAGGAGATGGCATGGAAGTATAAACTATAAACTAGTGTGGCTGGGGCATGCATCAATGTCACCCTCTACAACTTGGTTGTTCTCCTCTCTGGGAAGTTGCCAGGAAGTCAGGAACAGAGCCAGCATTGCCTGTTGGGCATGGAACCTGGATATGCAGGACTAAGATTTTTGGACCACAAAGAGAAAAAGAACCCATCTTTGCACTTAGTATTTGATCATTTGAATCATTCACACAGATTCAGTATTGGGAAGTTGAGGAATTTCTCGCAAACTATTCAAATAGAAAAACAAATTTCATTATGCTTTACATGTATGCTTGAGATTTAAGATTGTCTGAAAACGCTAAATCCTTGTGTATTTTATCAAAATATTAGTGCCAATTTTGACACCTTTACCAAACAGACAACCTACAGTTCCTGGATTCTGTCATAAAATAATCAAGAAACATGGAAAAGTTGACTAGCTTTTTCATCATCAGCCTAAAAATCTAAGGTCAGTTTCTTAGGATTTGGTTTAAAAATTTCCTTGTGGGATTGGAATTAAAGGCAAATCACCTGTAAAGAGAGGAGATTTTACGCACCTGACATTTCGGGTAAAGTGACTTTCGAGCCACATGAAGTTATAGTCCCTTTTCTCTGATAGGTTCAAAGTTCAAATCCCACCTTTATCACTTTATTCAAAAAAAAAAAAAAAAAAGGGAAAAGAGAGGAGATTTCACGTGCTGGAGCCCGGAATAAAGCCCATTAAACCAGAATTTGGAGGATTCAAAATACTCAGAAAAAAAAAAAAAGAAAAGAAAAAATGAAATTCTTATTCATTATATTGATAAGACAGCAACCTCTCCCAAACACCATCTTCTCCCTGAAACTTTCAGAAAACAACAATTGAAGAGGTCTTTACTACTTGATACTATAGGCTTTAACAAGATAAATCCACATGGGTTAAGATAGGACATTCCTGCTTAACCAACAAAAACATGGGTTAAGCAAATCACATCTTTAACTTTCTACAGGTAGAAAACTAAAACAGAAGCTGTGAATCTGAATCTAAAATGATGGATTTCACAGCTTAATTTGTTTTATACCAGTTTCTTTTTTGGAGGGTTTTGTAGATTCTTTGGATTACAGATAAATACCAACTTTTCCAAGGTATAGGAGGAAACTCAATTCAGAGAATTGAGACCCAAAAGTGACAACTTGATGGACATACCAAATACTAACGCGACTATCTTTTAAGAGTTGCCACCATTTGCATCAGTGCTGTAGCCACTCGGAGTTGATGTCACAGAGGTGGAGCTTCTGCCATCTCCACCACCTTCTCCCCCACTTCTCTTGTGGGATTCTTCTGACTTTGAGAAAGCGGAGAAGACAGTCTTGCACAGTATCTCAAACATTTTTGCTTTCACTTGGCCCCTCTTTGGAAGAAGTCTTACCTGCTTTTTCTTCTTCTTCTGGAAAGTAGAATCAGATTTTGACATCGTGCAGGAGATCTGCATACAGACAGAAAACTAATGTTAACATAATAAGAAAATGAAAAAGAGGACAACGGTTTCTAACTCAATCACTAAATAAAGCAAAAGGCATGTAAGTAAGGTAATACAAAAGAAAGATACAGTAGAACTATTTTTAAATGGAGTGAATTTATCAAGATACCCTGTAGGGATACAGAGGAAAAACAGACAAGGGAAGGAGAGATTATGAAGATTTTGATTATAATGACCAAAAAACTGAAGATTTTGGTTATAAAAGTGGTGGGGGAGAGGGAGGGGAAGGACGAGAGATGTATGTGATGGTTGGAAAAAAAAGAGGGTTTTAACTGGGGAGGCTTTTAGT